TGTCATCTTCTACAGTATTGTATAGATTGACACTAATTTAGTGATTAAATATTGCTATCATTATCATCTCGAGCAATATTATACAGTTTGACACTAAATATTATTATCATTATCATCTTCTACAATATTGTATAGTTTGATACTATTATCATCATTATCGTCTTCTACAACACAGTATTGTTTGACACCCTATATTGCCATCATTATCGTCTTCTACAACACAGTATTGTTTGACACCCTATATTGCCATCATTATCGTCTTCTACAACACAGTATTGTTTGACACCCTATATTGCCATCATTATCATCTTCTACAACACAGTATTGTTTGACACCCTATATTGCCATCATTATCATCTTCTACAACACAGTATTGTTTGACACCCTATATTGCCATCATTATCATCTTCTACAATACTGAGTAGTTTGACACTCAGCCCACCTTGCTTGCATCCGTAGAGAGTGCTTACTCTTCTGGCTTCCTCCCGGCCCAGCCCTCTACCTACGTCATCCACGCTCCTGGCGTCATGGCGCTGTTTTGTGGCGGGTTTGTTGTCTCCCTTCTGTCCCAAGAGACTGTCTTCGCGGGAGTCAGTGAAGAGGTCATCGTTGCTGTAGCCGGCAGCGTAGCCGAGGTGGTCACTCGTGAGGAGGGTGTGGCTGGGACGACGGAAGGCTGTGGACAAATCGGTACCTAATACCAAAGATTGCACATAACAAGATAGTTCACTCCTCTCTTTGAGCCATTTAAAGAAGTGTCCTCAAAGTCTGGTGGCGCCCTCTGCGGAAAAGGGCGGACTTTGCGAACAGAGTTGCCCTACTTGTGTGAAAAGCAATAAAAGTGAAACGAACAAACTGTGCTATTCCTATTCTTCTTCTGGAGGGAATGAAAGAGAGATTCAAAACAAAGACTGCAGCGCCATCTGAACCAATGCGCAGACTTCCGCCCCCCTCCCCCAACCACTCTCACTCCCTAAAAAAGGGGGAGGGCCGAGTAAAGAAAAACTAAAACTACAGCAAAACAAAAGCACGACTAAAAAAACCAGCGTATGGGACCAAAAAACTTACCATTTTTAACTTTTGTGTGTGTGTGTGTGTGTGTGTGTGTGTGTGTGTGTGTGAGTGGGCGCGGACGCGCACGCGCGTTTTGTGTGTGTCTTTGTGTAAATTAATGTAGTACGCCCCCATCGACACAAGGAGAGCCAATAACGGAGAGCCAAGAACCAGAAAGGGAGAATGACAATTATATAGACCTACTGATCCTCATTCAAACTTTTGCACCTGTGTCTTTCTCAGAGTTACGTCCCCTGTCCCTGTGGTAGCTGGAAGTGACCCTTGTGTCGACCCCCATCGTCTGCAACAAGAGGCCGACCAGCGCCCCATGGGTCAGACACCGTCCAGACACTGAGATCGTCTGGCGACCCCCGACCCGTCCAATGGGAGAGTCGCAGCTGGAGACAAAACAGTGAACCATTTACAAGTGTATATTATGTCTGCACTGAAAGAAGGGGAAAGAAATAATAACAATATATCCTATACGATAAAATACACGTCAACCAATGAACGTCGACAAGCACTCTTTTACGAACGACTAATAAATACAAGTCAACCAATGAACGTCGAGAATTAACTTTGTTCCACGAACAACAAAATTATATGCGTCAACCAATGGACGTCGAGTAACTGTGCTCAATGAACGACAAAGTTCACCACTTCCCTCTTCCGCTTATCTCGCTTGGCCCATCGGGGAAAGGCTTGAAGGTCCCGGATCCCATATAGCCTTAAAGTATCGGAACAGCGTGTTAGACTTATGTTTTGCCTGTCGAAGATTTTATTTTGGGCAGCCAGAGTTTAAAGCCACTTACAGTAACGCAAAAGTCATAATTATTATAAAATCTGATGATTAGAAGTGTTACTAGAGAGTAGCATACAAAGAAAAGAAAGAGGAGAGATTAAGTCGATATATCATGTTTGATGATGCGACAAAGATGAAAGTCTTAGTTGAAGCAAATAGAAGACAACAGCTTATGACGAATATACGAAAGCGACAGGCAAATTTCATTAGATGCACAAAGTGGAAAGAAGCATTGGAGAATATAGTAACAACAGACAAGTTTGATGAAAAGAGAGGCAGAGGCAGACAGAGGAAAAAGATACTGGACAAGTTGACAACATGGCTAGGAGCGGCAAGAACAGCAGACACAATTGCTGCAACACAAGACAGATGGAAGTGGAGGTCCATGGTTGCCCACGCCAGTCGGCAAGGCACCGGATAATGATGATGATGTTTGATTTTTGTGGCGTCGGTAGCCTAGTGGTTAGGCTCTCGGACTCGCAACCGTAAGGTCGTGGGTTCGAATCCCGTCAAGGGCCCGACGTTGTGTCCTTGGGAAAGGCACTTTACACGAATTTTCCTCACTTAACCCAGGTGAGAATGGGTACCCGGCTATAGACAGCGAAAGATCTTGTCAGTTTGTTAGTGTTTGAGCGCTTAATCGGC